TTGGACAGAAAAGCTGAAAAGTCAGACAGGCTCCAAACAAGCCTTTTTCTCACTTGGTCACAGATGAAGGCCACATTGACTGACCTGGCCACACCAGGCAGGGTGTGGGGGTCTTCGGGTGAAGGATCTTGGGTAGGAGGCTTCCCACTTCTGTTGTAGGTGTCCTTTCTTAAAGATAAAGCCAGTCTTTTTGCCCAGGCTGGCTCCCTACCAGCTGCTTTGTCCTTTTCTAAGATTAACCTCTCTGTGGACACCAAGGACTGGGAAAACTCTCTGACATTCTCATGCCAAGAAGAAACTTCCTCTGTACTGACTGCTCCTGGTTCTCTAAAATGCCTCATAAGTCTTCCATATTTACACTTGGGGGTCCATCCACCTTTCACCTGTACCTCTGCGACCTCTATGACAGCAGGTCCAGCTGTCCTGTTGCATTCCTCCTGCTTGCCATGTGCCTTGGTCCACAGTGTTAATGAGCAAATTATTGTTAACTGATGGGTAGTAATTTGGATTACTAGGAGACAGCTGATAGCAAGGCATTTTACCAATATTTTGATTCTATTTCTATAGCATGTCCGAGTGTATAGGAAGTGTTCAACCAACACCCAATGAATTAAAATTTTTCCAATGAATTAATAATCTTCAGCAGCCAGGAAGATGCTATTAGCTGCACTTCTTTGAGAGGTGAGCTGGTCAGAAAAATGAAGATATGAAGAAATCAGGGGTGCAGCATCCTTTCATCTTTCCATTCAGATTCTCTTGCCTTCTTTCTCACTCTGTGTTTACCTTTGTCTCTGCCTTTTACCACCTTTGGAGAACCTAAGATTGTCTTGGAAGCGTCCCTGCTGTCTTTGACCTCCCTGTGAATTCTGTTTCAGGTCACTCCATGTCTAAATTTCCCTTTCTGCTCTTTCCCTTCATCCCTGAACTCTGTCTTCTTCCTCCTCATCTAAGCCCTTTGTTCCCTTTGCTCAATCAGGGGGTCAATTCTTTAAAAAAAAAAAAGAAATTGGCTAATATGTGGGGGATATATATATATATTATATATATATATATGTATGTATATAATGTCATAGGTACATTTCTTTGGGGGATTGGCATATGGATAAAGCACATCTTGATCATTTTCAATCCCTTTACCTGCCTCCATTTCTTTCTCTATTTCCAAAAAGCTTATCTTTTTGCTTCCTACCATTTTTCCTTTGGTTAACTTTTATTTATTTAGGTTCAGTTTCCTCATATAAGAGAAACCACGTGATAGTCAACTTTCTGTGTCTGACTGATTTCACTTAACATTATGGTCTCATGTTCCATGCATTTTCCTGCATATGGCATGATTTCATCCATCTTCATAGCTAAATAAATTCTATTGTGCATATTTACCACTTTTTCTTTATCTGTTGGTGGGCTTCAAGGCTGTTTCCAGATTTTAGCTATTGTGAGTTGTGCTGCTATAAACATGGGTATGCATGTATCCCTATAGTATGATGTCTTTAACTCTTTTGGGAATATACCCACAAGGGGTATGGCTGAGTCAATTGGAATTTATATTTTCAGTTATTTGAGGAATCTCCATAGTGATTTTACTATTTTATATTCAGAGATCAATTCTTTAATGATCTCTCTCTCTTGTCTGCCATCCCTGCCGGCTTCACACTCCTTTTTACAAGTCTCTTCCAGGTTATATCATGCCAATGGCTTCAAACACATACCACATGCCAGCCCCACCCAAAGCTCCATAATATTCTGGAATTCTTTGTTGGCAAGCTTCAGCTTTCTATTTCTCCTGACCCACAGAGTCTGTACTGTAAGGCTCTCACATATATGCAAAAGATAGCAGAGCAGACAACAATTTCATTTACACTTTTTACCAGTAATACATGATATCAGTGTGGCCCCTCCACCTGGAGGTGGTATTTTAAAAATTTACTGTAATTCTAACTTTCAGAAATCCTGATTAATTTTAAGTTCTGTCATTGTACTCTGGTACTTTACTGAAGGAAATATTTTCTATTCCTTTGTTTCCATGTCTTGCTGATACAGTTTGTTTATATCTGTTTTGTTTATTCTTGAGTCCCATTAGTATCGCCAACCGCCAAATAGACTTGGGAGGCTGTGTTCAAACAGGTGTTTGGCAACAACTTAATTGGGGAAGTATAGAAGAAATTCAAACATGGGTGGTGGTGGAAGGAGATGCTTGATAAGACAGCGCTTCTCAATATCTCTTAAAACTTCATGTGCTCCTTAAACTGGTCATTCAGAATGTAGGAGTTTTGTCTTTTCCTTTATGTTTTCCACTATATCAAAGAATTCTTTAGTACAATTGCTCCACCTAAGATGTATTTAAATCTCATGGAATTACCTGAGAGAGTAAAATTAGTAATTCAGCTCCAGCGAAAGAGAAGAAAACAGATCAAACATACTTTGGATTTGGTGATAGTGGAATTAGACCACGATATCCCTCTGTAGTAAGTAGCGTACTTGTGTGTGGATTTTATGCATTTCTTTTGTCTAGTTTCTCCTTGTGAACACCAGTTTATTCAAGGACTCAAAGACAGAGTTACATGGATCCCCATAGTTATTTCATTCCTGTTGACTTTTTCTTTGAGCCTTCTCCTTGGCCAAAGGACTTGCAATGACTTCACCCTCCTTAGACGTTTCTGGACAGGAAGTGACCTCTCAGTTTTGGAATGAACAACCAGACTGTTTGTTATAGTGGCTCTAATTTCTCTTTGGAGATTCTTTGTTCTTCTCTGTTTCCTAAAGCTGGGTAGAGCAAAGCTCACCCCTTTTCTACCTGGGAGCCCCGTGGGTAATTGAAGACCACAATTATAGAGTTGTATCTTCATCAGCCTAAATAGTCCCAGTGCTCTAAATCCTCATGACATCTTTCTCTGTTCTTTTCAATTTTTATTAGCACCTGTTTATAGCACATAATTACTGTATTCATCATGGGGAGTCTGTATATGTATAATGACACATCTTAATTCTTTTTTTAAATCCTTGTACTACCTCCATCTCTTGATCACCTCCCCTGTTGCAAAAGATTGATCTCTCTGTTTCCTGTTATTTTTCATATTGCTCTATAATTTATATTTTGGGTTTCCCATGTAAAATAAATCATATAATTTTTAAGCTGGTGTGTCTGATTTATTTCACTTAACATTATGGTCTTAAAGTACATCCATTTTCCTACAAGTGACTCAAGTTTATCCTTCTTTATGGCAGTATAGTACTCCATTGTATCTAAATACCACACTGTCTTTATCTTGTTTCCAGTCTCTTGAAGACTTTGGTTGTTCTATTCTCAGTGTGCTCCATTTTGCCTGTGTAGCATCTGGATCACAATTGGATGTTCTAACCAGTCCAAAAGGAAAAAGACCTTTCTTCCCTCCTTATCTGTTTCCTTGATGCTCAGCCATTGATCCAGTGTCCCTTACATTCTCCAGACACCTGATGCTTCCTTCCTAAGAGGTATTTCTGAATTTGAAGGCCATTAGACACAACAGGTCCATCACTAATGGTCCTCAATTTTAGATCCATTTTTGTGGAAGGGAATCTGTGTTTTTGAAGCTTTCCTTGAATGCTTTGAATCCTTTTCATTCGTTTTCACTTGAGTTTATAACAAAATTTAAGCATTATCAGGGCAGTTTTACATACTTCATATTCAGCCCAAAGCCTGCACAGGTCTGAGAAATATTTATTGAGTCCATGATTTGTAATCTTATCATTGATTATCTTATCTTCTTTCTTTTCATCATCATCACCATGTTAGTGGTACACAGGTTCTTTAGCTTAGGTTATTGTTGTTGGTTTTTTGTCTTTATTCCTGTAGTGTCTATGTTGTGTATGGAGAAAGAGGCCATGAAGTGCTGTGGTTTTGAATACAATGGAGTGTTAGGAATTTACACTATGTTCAGGCTTCCCAATGGTCCCTTCCAGAGCTCTCATCAACTTCAGGGAGGTAGTGGAATTTCATAAAAATCAGTGGGGAATAGCTTCAGATAGGATTACTGAAAATGGGGTGAATTTATATTGTTCCCCTGGTCAGGGCTCCCTTGCCAGGACTTCTAGAAGTAATGTGGAGCTGGGCATGGTGGGAAGCTGAGGTAAGAACATTGCAAATTAGAGCCCAGACTCAGCAACTTATCAACATAGCAAAACACTGTCACCAAATAAAAAATGAAAAAATGTCTGGGGATATAGCTCAGTGCAAAGTCCCTAGGTTCAATCTCTGTACTTCTCTGCACCTCTCCCCAAGAGTCAATGTCACATGATGTGATGAGCCCAAGGCGTAAACAGATTTAGTTATTCCTTTTCCCTGCATGTATTATGGTCCATTAACCATGCTGAGCTCAGTTTCTTCATCCATAAAATGGAGTGAACCTAACCATGCAATCAGGATCTCAGAACTCCTATGCTGATGAAATCAGATAATATGTCACCAGATCACTCTGGTCATTCTGCATTTTCCTTATTTGGTTTCTATAACTGCATAATAGTAAAGAGCTTCCCACTAGCCCTCCTGGTTGTTTCTTCCATAGTTGGCATCATGCCCAATTCTCTCCTGTAGGCTCAGTCTGAGTCTCTCTGCCCTTATAGCAGCCTGTCCACTGTCCTCACAGCAGGGGAGAGCTGATCAATGCTCCTTCATGCTGTGCTCATTGCCCTGTCCTTAGGGTGGTCTGAGAATCCCATCCCCCCCCCCCTTTTTCCAGAGACAGAACATAGTCTAGACTCACCGGGCAGGAGGAAGTCAGAAAACCCTGTTCTTTATTTTTTTAAATTAAGTTTACTGGTACATTTTAGGTATACAATACAGTTACATTCATCATTGGGATCTTGTACCTTTACATGATGTATCTTGGTTCTTATTCTTTTCCGATTCCTCTGCCCTCCCTTCACCCCCTCAAATCTTCCCTATTTACAAAGACTTTGTTTCCATATTTTTCCTTCTCTAGTAGTTCTGATCCTTGCTTCACTGATGGTTTTTCTAGGGCATGGGGGCATGGAAACATCACTTGGTTGCATGAGCTGCTCATTCTGTTTTGCAGAAACAGTAATATATTTGGTTTCCCACTTACCTGCCAGAGTGGGTTAGAATGAATGAGACTAGATCTGTCTGGAGAAAGAGGTTATTTGGACATCCAGTCTGGTTTCCTCAAATAGGGCAGCAGAAAGTTGCCAGGGCTCCCCCAAAGGCCAGGCGAGCCCAGGAGACTGGAGCATTACGCTTTACTCAGACAGTGGAGACCACGCCTGTCTCCCCAAACAGCCCTGTGTGTGTCTGCCTTGATGATGCATTTGTGCCGGTCGGGGAGTTGGACCTGCAGCAGAAGCAAATGGTTGCCAGTCACCACTTTCCATACAGAGCATCAGCCATGCAGGCTTCTGACTCACACTACACTCACCTGCACTCCGAGACTCGGGCACAGGGAGCTCCGGCTTCCCAGTGTGCTTCCCTTAGTAATTACAGAGGCCCCCAACACTGCAGCTCACACAGAGCCTGGCCTTTGTGGCTGGAGTCGGACCCCAACACTCTGCTCCCCAATCGCATGCCCAGGGTGTGCACTGCCTTCTCTCATTCTCCTCCCACTGAGGCACTTCCCAGCTGAGTTCTGCCTTGCCATGCCCCACATCTCCCACAAGGGGGAGCCCCCGGAGGGCAACTGGGGCTGAGGAATTTTGGAAGCGCTGAAGTTTTCGACTCCTGTCCTGCAACTGGTTTTCACTCACCCAACGGTGAGATTTCTTTGTTGCAGTGTTGGAGTCTGAGATAACACTGCCGGAAGCTGCAGGCGAGAACCTTAGCTCATTCTATCTTTTATTGTGTGTTGTTGTTTACCAGCATTCTAAACTAAGAAGGAAAAGTAATAAAGACATGCAGGACTCACAGGCCCTGGATGAAGACTGCCAGCCTCAGACAGAACCAGCACGTCTGAGGGACAACCAGGAGGTGCCTTTGGCTGTGGAGCTCAGGTAGGAGCCTCGGAGGGGACAACGGGAGAGGGGTCCTCAGGGAGAGAGGCACAGAACTCCTCGTGGTGGGAAGATTGGATAGAGCAAAAACAGAGGGTGGGGAGAAGAGATTCAAGGGGGAAAAGCAGTGCAACGAGGCCTTAGGAGATCGAGGGAGAGAAGAGGGCAAAAGAAAAACAAAACAAAACAGGGTTTTGCCCGAAGGAGAGCAAATGAAATAAAACGGTCTCACAGTGCGGCCTGAAAGGCGACCACAGGCGGGCGGGAGAGGGAGGGAGGGAACCGAATCAGAGAATGAAATTGGTTTGAAGTTGATTCCAACTCGGCCGCCCAGAAACTTCACAAGAAATGAGAGACTGGGAGATTGACAGCAAATACGCAGTTGCGTAAGAAACTCAAAGTGAGATTTGCCTCAGTGGCTCTAATCACGCCGGTTGCGTGTCACGGAGCCACACCTGCTCTAGACTTTGAACTAAACTCCAAGGAATTCTGGTCCGCTGACCTTTTCAGGTCATCTCCACTGTGAACTCATGTTTCCCACTTTCCCTTTCTTCCTTCACATCTCCCACCGTTGCTCTAGGTAATGGGCTAAGAGTCAGAAATTCTATGTTCTAGTCCAGGATTTTCCGCTTATTGGTGAGATTAGTTTAAGAAAGGAAACACTGGTATTTCCTTTTCCTTTGTCTATAGAAGGGAGATAATAATATATTACTGATGAGCTTTACAGGATTTTTCTGAGGTTTGAATAAGTAAGATAATGTGAATAAATGTTCTTAATAGATTATAATTGCTAGCTAAATAAAAGTTGGCATTAATAATAATTAATCAGTTAATATACTCTTACTACTCTCAGCAGGGGATTGCCTGTTAAGCTTTGGAGAAATACACACACACACACCCTACACACACATATACACACACGCACACACCCACACACAGACTGTTCTACTATTTGTGGGAAAATTTAAATACATAGCTCCCCATTTCCACAGCACTTTCAGAGCTTCTCTTTGGCAGTTCAGTGGGAAACATTGTATTCTTCGTCTTTTAGCTTTGGATGCTCTTTTTCCGGGTGTCAGCTACATTTTTCTATTTCTCAAACTGCGAATTGTGATTGATGGTGCCTGCTTGGCTACCTGGGAGAGAGTTATCCCTGTCCTGGATGCTGCCCACAGAGAAAGGTCACATAGTGTCTCAGCCATGGCCAGATACATGTGCTTGGAAGAAGCAAATGAGAGGCTGAGTTAGTCCCCACTGATACATTCCCTATCTAGAGTGTTTTTAATGGATCACTTGTCAGTTTTCCTTTGAAATGTCTCAGATGGGAAATTGGGCTGTGCACTCTTGGTCAGACTTACGAAGATTTGCCTTTGACACCTGTAACCATATTTGCCCTTCCCTCAGGTCCCTGCAGCGGGTGTTCGGGGAAGGCAGTGTAGAGCATGGGGCAAAGAGTTCATCTTCTCTTCATCAGTCAACTGAAGTTGTCTCCACCCTTCCCTCCTGCACCCACATGCATCCTCAAGGAGCACATGACAATGTTCCTGCATGCACCGACCATGCACACCTCTCATGTGCTATGTCATCATAGTCTTGCTGCGTGCTTCTTTCTAGTGATTTGCTCACATTCCACAATCCAAATTATTTTAAAAGCCCCCCCCCCCGCAGTTGTTAGTGTATTCTCCTACTCCTTTTCATTTCCACCAATCAACTGATGGGTAGATCAAATATTTATAGAGATTCTAATTTTAACTCATATACCTACTCACCTTTAAAAAATTAGAATCCTATCTAAATCACATGTATAGATGCACAGTACATCTAAGACTATTTCTAGTTTTCTAAAATCACCAAGCACATATATACATCTCTTCTCCTTTCAGTCACACACACACACACACACACACACACACACACACACACCTAATTTAATACAAAATACATGCAAATGTATATTTCAGCAGAAAACATAGGTAATATCACATGTCATTCTCATTTAGAAAGCAAGTTGGGTGGGGAAAGGAGCAAACACTGTATCAACACTTCAACTATTTTAGTGTGTAGAAGTGACCACCACACACAATTCATGTGATTAAAAAAATCATGGATCAATTTCTGCCCTGTTTCTAGTAATGGATATCAATATCTTGCCTCTGTTGTTAGGCTGTCAGCAGCTTCAGGTATTTTTAAATGAGTTTTTTTAAAAAAATACATTTGCAAAGTCAATTATTTTGAATCTCATCTGAGGCAATTAAAAAACATCCTGACATTTAAGGTGATATTTTTTCCCAAGTAAAATAATTATAAATAATACTAATTATGAACAAATCATTCAGTTACTCTCAGTCTGGTTCAACCTTTAGGTTAATAAACCAATCCATTAAAATTCATCTTTCTCAAAGGACCAATTTGTTAAAAAAATATAGCGACCTTTCGCCACAAGTATGATTGATATTTTCTTTAACAATAATCAGAGCTGTCTTTCCCAGAAGAGAGTGTGGTCAGTTGGTAGGTATAAAAAACTAGGGTTCTTTGAGCTTCTCTCAGTAACACTTCATAGATAGGCGCAAAATATTGTTGGTGATCATGAAGAAGGAAGGCAATGATAATGTACAAAATTAAAAGTCTGATCTCAAAAAAAAGTATCTGAAAGTCTCACCCAACCCAACAATACCACTCTTCATGCCAGGAAGAGTTTAGATATTTCCCTCTGCCTCCAGTGTTCTTACCAGATGTATAGGGTAGGGATTTGCAAATATGGCCCGTGGACCAGCTCCAGCATACCATTTGTTTCTGTAGATAAAGTTTCATTGGCATAAGGCTCTATCCATTTATGTATTGCCTGTGATTGCATTTCTACAAAGGCAGAGTTGAGTAGTTAAAACAGAGACCAAATGGCCTGCAAAGCCTAAAATACTCATTATCGAGCCCCTAAAAACATTTTCCAACCCTTAGTATGGGGTAATAAAAAGTCGTCTTTGAATTTACAAAAGCAACTAACATCTGATGGGTCTTTTAGAATTGATAAAGTCTGATCATTATGTTGTATTGCAGCAAGTGGTAGGCTTACATAAGTGATGAAAAAATGGTAAGTTTTTCACTCAGTCATTAAATGGTGTCAGTAGGACTTGGCCTCTGAAAATGCCCTGTGGCAGCTTAGAGAAAGTAAAAGAAAGGGATATCAATTGCACCAGTGCCACCCAGCTCTCTCATCACCTGGATGTAGTCATTGCCAAGAGATAACAGAAGAAGCAAAACTCTTGACACGCTGTTCCTCCGTATCTGACTGGGACCTGGCTGATCTTGGCCTTGTCTTCTATATCGTTCTCATAACCAGTGTTACAAATAGAAAGGAAAGCAAAGGGCTTTGCAGTCAAACAAAGCTAAGCTTATTACACCAGCTCTCACTTATCCATCTGCCCTGAAGTTGACACTGTGGCATGAACAGAAAATAACAGAAAAGTCTTTGTTTTTGGCATACACTATCTTTTAAAAACTTTGCTTTTTGGAACAGCAGATCCCCTTTTAATTACTTTTCTTTATTCAAGTTAATATCAAAACTGTATCTCTCCTCATGAACTTGTGACATCTATTAACAAACTAAGCCATAGGGAGCTACACATATCAGTGGAAGGAAGCCTGGAATAAAACCTTGCCTTTGAGATTCATAGATACATAAAACAATAATTGTTTGTTGAGACCAAAGATTTTTTTAAACTTATATTTTCATGGAAAAGAGGAGATGGATTATATGAGAGAGCAAGGAATAATAAAATTCTACATTGAGTCTTTTCTGATGATTCCAAGACAAAGATGGAGGCTTAAATAACTGAATGAATTTAATTTTCCAATCAACCAACATTTATTTTGAGTCTTCACTTGGACCTCTAGAAGTTGAAAAACTAAGGTTCAGATTTCTTTATGGAGTGATTGATTAGAGGATCAGACATGTACATGTGTTTATGATACACATTAGAAGTCAGTAGTGGAGCTGGGCATGGTGGCACATGCCTGTAATCTCAACACTCTGGGAAGCTGAGGCAAGAGGAGTTTGAATTTGAGCTTTACCCGGGGAATTTAGCAACTTAGTGAGATCCTAGTTCTAAGTAAAAAAATGTAAAAGGACTGGGCATGTAGCTTAGTCTTGGATAGAAAGGAACAGTGTCATAGAGCAGAGCGAAGGATAAAGTTTGTACATGCTCAGGAAGCCATTCATTTTATGTGGAGCTTATGCTTACTGGGGATGGAGGAAGATAAATTGAGTGAAGTAGGTTGGACCCTTAAGGAGGGTCTTGGATTACAGGTTAAGAAGTTTGGTCTTCATTCTGTAGATGGTGAAGCTTATTGCATATTTGTGCACAGGAGAATTACATGGTGGTACCTCTGATTGGGATCGGAGTGTAACAGATGTTTGATAAGAAATTGGAGGGAGATATTCAGTTAGAGGCAAGATTAGAAAGTAATACCTCACCTTGTGCTCCAATAGCAAGACTGCTGGTCTATCATGACCCCAACTATTGCAGGTTAGAGCACTGGGTGAGGGCTTTCTGAGGGCATTTATTTAATGGCATGCCAGTGGCATTTATTCACAAAACCAAAAAGCAATTTGGGCCAGCAATAGGGGTTTTGGTTACTTCCTCAGACAGGATGCAGTTTGGGTAATTATACACATGATTCATCGAGGTCGGGAAACAAATCCTCCACAAACACACACCCCTCCCCTCGAAACCCAGTGACTCATGGCTGCTTCAGTTTCATCCATAGAACCCTCTGGAGACTGGGCAGAATTTGAGGTATGAAGTTAAATCATAAATCTTTACCATTCAGAGTTACAAGGGAAACATTTTTGTGTATTCTTTGGTTCGAGGAAAACATTTAGAGAATTTCTCCTGTTTTAGGCACAAAGAATATGGTGTTGTAAAACATAGCTTCTGCCATAAAATATCCTCCAATTTAGTTGATAAAATAGATATAAAGAATCAAACTATTCCATAAGTATT